GGGCTTGGCCAAGTCTCCTGCCCTCTCTTTATCTATTTCCCCCTCTTCAATAAGAAGCTCCCATTTCTTGAGCACCTGCCCACTTTTTGCCACATTGTCTCTTGAGGCCAACATTATTATCCCCACTTTACAGATGAGCAAACTGAGGTGCAGAAAGGTGAGGAAGCGGTGGAGCCAAGGATGGATGGCCGTGTCCTCCTTCCCATGGCCCCCCAGTGCTCTACTTGCTGGTCTCCAGCCTCGACTACTTTCAGACCCTTACACTTCCCTGGCTGCTACCACTTCCCCCCACTCCAAAGCCCGAGGCTGAGCTGCTGCTCCAGGGTCACTCAGCTTGGCCTGGGAGGAGCTCAGACTTGAACCCAGGCCCCTTGGCCCCAGGCTCCCTTACTCTGGCCAGCAGGCTGGGCTTGTTCCCTGGGTGAGTCATTCCCCTGGACTTTGGCCTTCTTGTCAGGCTCTGTGGTCTGAATTTGGAGACGAGGAGGGCGGCCTTTGTAAGAAAGAGGGGCTCCCCTGGTAGCAGTGGGGGGCTTAAAGCGATCATCTCTCCCGCCTCAGTCCTGTGCCCTGAGGGCATGGTGACAGCCACCCAAAACCTGTCTCCCCTCCACCGATCTCTAAGAAGCCTTATAGGAAATGGTCCTCAGGCTTCAGTGAGCACTCATTCTGCCCCCTCCCTAGATAACAACTACCTTCAATTAGAAATGAGGTGAGGCCGGGAACTTGGGGTGGGTGGCATTTCCAGGTTATCTGTGTGCCCAGGTGGCTTCCTCCGCAGCACTCATCTTCCCCAGCACCAGGCCACTGGGTTACCCAGGAGGGAGGCCAGCGTACCTCCCCTCCTGGTGTCCAGGGACCAAGGTCACACCCAGAGCCGTATGCACTTCCACCTCCTCCTGGGGCCAGTGTGTTTGTCACTGGGGCAACGTGCGGCTGTGCCTGGCTCTGGCAGTGCGGGGGTGACATTCATGCCCTGTGAGCTGTGACGCCTCTGCAGGCAGAGGACAGCACCACCCAGGCTGGCAGTGATGGGGGAGGGGTGGGAGTGTGCTGTCACCTGTCCTGAGCAGTCAGGGGGTAACAGGTCGTGTACCCACCCCAGCCTGGAGGGAGGACTCGTGGGGAAGGAGTGAGGGTGTATCCCTGGCATACACCATGGGTTGCGGTTGCGGGGGTAGGTCTGCATCCTCCTCACACCTGGAAGGCGAGGCCTGTGTCTGTGTTGGGGTTTTGGGGGAGGTTCTCCAATCGTTTCACATCCAGTTATTGGATGTGGGGGTACCTGGGTGTGTGTGTTACGCCGTTGTGAGGGTGATAGCCCGTGTTCCTGCCTCATACTGTCTGGGTATCAGCTGTGCCCATCTCATGCTTCGTGGGAAGTGACAGGTGAGGAGAGTAGTCAGTCATATCACATGCCTGTCTCTCCAGCTGTTGGGTGTGTGTGAGATGTCACCGTGTGCCCATCTCATGCTGTTGTGGGGAGTGACATGTGCGATTATCCCATGCTGTTGGGAGGTTGTCAGTAACTTAGGAGTTTGTCTTTCACCCTCAAGAGACAACGTGTTGCCTGGTGGTATGGAGCTGACAGTTGGCGGGGCCTTCCCATGGAGACCACAGGACCCCAGAGGGGTGGCCAGCAGAGGCCCTGAGCACCAGGACGAGTGTGGGTCGGGAGGGGGGTGTCTCATCCCCACATGACCTACCTTCTGGCCCAGGTGCCAACCCTGGAGACTGCTTCCCGGGAGGAAGGACCCAGTGTTTTTCAGACAGTGTGCAGCGGGGCCGCTGGGACTGGGGCAGGTGTAACTGGAGAGGTGGGGCACCGGGCAGGGTGTGCATGAGGGGCTGTCCCCCTAGGCCTGGGGGACCCTATTCCCTGCCTCTTCTGCCCCTGAAACTGTTAAACTAATTAAGGCTGTGGAGCCGCAGGATTAATCGGGGCAGCTCTCGCGGCCCGGAGCTCAGGTAGTCGATTAGTGTGCCGCGGAGGATATTGGATTTCTGAACCGCAAGTCAGCACTATTCGGGCCTGTTATCTCTCTGAGGCTCGAGGGTCAGGAGGCGGAGGCTCCCGGCCTGCTGGCCACCCCCGCCGGCCAGCTCGGAGGTCCTCTCCCCCTGCCCACACCGCCATCCCTGCCTATCTGCCCGTGTCTCCGCCCACGTCCCCTGCCCTCCTGGCCCCGCTGCTGCCCACTTGGCATCCTCACCCAGCTCTTCTCCCTGGCTCATCCTGTGCGTGGTCTCCTCCCTCTGTCTGCCTCCATCACCCTCCGGTTTCCGTCTGTCGGGCTGGCCTCCCTGCGCTGCCATCCCCTCTGTCTCCCCCTCCCCCCACCCCACCCCCCACCTGGCCTGACTCACACCGTGTGCCTCACTGACCCGCTCTTCAGCCCTGACCAGCCGCGCCACCTCTGTCCTTTCCCTTCACTGTCCCTGTCCGCCAGTCTCTCTCCCCGCTTTTGTTTTGTATGTTTCTGATTGTCACTGTCTCTCATGTCTCTCCCTCTGGGGTCTCTGTATCTTTCTCTCTCTCCCTCTCTGTGTTTTTCTCTCTCCCTCTGGCACTCAATCTCTTCTCTCTCTCTCTCCCCCTGTCTTTCTTGTGTGGCTCGGCTGGTGTCTGCAACCAGAACAAATCTCCCCCAGCCAACACCCCCTGAACAAGGAGGCCAGAGCAGCTAATGGAAAACATGTGATTCTGCCTTGCGCCTGAGCACCGTGAAGGAGCCTTAGTCCAGCTCAGCCCCTGCTCCCCCCTCGCTGCATTCCCCCCACCACACTGTCCCCCGCCTCCCATTGGCTCCCCCAGCCTGTGTGGGCACAGTTGCAAGTTCCCTAGTCATTTACATTTCAGGGATTGGGGGAGCTGTCATTTATCAGTTGGGGAGTATCAGGTTCTGGAGGGGCTGGGAGCAGCTTTGCTCCGTTGGTCCCCCCCACATCCGCCCCAGCACCCAGGGCCAGGCAGACCCCATGCAGACTCCCCACCGCCACCCCCATATGTAAGAGAACGGGGCCAAGATGAGCTGAGCTGTGGGGGCCTGGATGGGGGGCAGCCAGTCCACCCCCCTTGGAGGGCTCTGGAGCCACCCGGATTTCCATCTTTTCCACCCTCTTGCGCCCCTGGGGAGCTGCAGAGGTGGGGGCTCCCTGAGGGCTTGGGAGCTGCTGGGCTGCATTTCTGTGCCCACCCAACCACGGGGAAAGGGGGGATGGATCAGAGGAGGGAGGCTCTGGCAGGTTGGAATTCTCCTTCTCTGCCTGTGGATAAATTGTCCCTAATCCAGGCTTGGGGAGCTGTCTGGCTCCTACAGAGAGAGAGAGAGAGAGAGAGAGAGAGAGAGAGAGAGAGAGAGAGAGAGAGGGAGAGAGAGAAGGCAGGAGATAGGAGGGAAGCAGGCATACAAACACAAGTGACACAGACACACACTGCCTCACAAAGGGCCTCTCGCATGCGCTCACACACGCACTGGTGAGTTACACAAAGGTACCACACAGATTCTGAGGCACCCTTGCTCTGACAGGCACACTTTGGCACACAGACCCTCTCACACGTGTTGACACTGACAGAGCTATACTAGCACAGACGGAATGACATGGCACCAAGGACCCATCGACACACACAGACACAGTAATAAGGTCATACAGTGCACAAATGCACGGACACAGGCATGAGCACATACCGACCCACGGGGAAACAGACCCACAGGGACACCGTGACCAGTACGCCGTCACACCATGACCCTGGAAACCCAGAGAAAGGCAGAGGTAGGAGGGAGGCAACGCTGATCCACAGTGACACCAGTGCCCAGTCACAGGCCTCGAGACTGGAAGCCTGCAGGGACAGCAGAGGACTAGCTGCATTCCCCCTCCCCGCCCCCCACACACACACATTCAGAGAGCTCCGAGACAGGCAAACGCCGGTGTGGCTCCTGACACAGAGCATGCAGAGAGCCAGGCTGAGTGTGTGCAGAGAGGCACACTCGTGGCCTGATCACAGCTGGGCACACCTTTTCATACATAGGCCACATACTTTCACCTCTGTCCTCACAGGTGTGCAAACACAGGCTCAGGTGGACAGAAACAAAGCTGCGTAGACCCAGATGCGCACAGCCACACGTAAGACACCAAATCCAGGTATACGTCAGGCACACAATCCCATACATGTACGCTCTTAGACATACATATACATATACCTGCACAGACATACAAAAATACACAGAGAAGCATACAGAAGGCTAAGTAGACCCAGGACCCCACACGCAGGTATATTTATCCAGACAGCTGAACACTCATAGACGTGCATCATACAGGCAGGATCTCGTAACACATACAAATCCCCAGGCAACCAGAACCTGTAAGGAGTCTATGAGGCCGAGTTCTCAGATCCCCTCTGGGCTCCAGTACACACCTCAAGGAGGCAGACTAATCGGCAGGAAGCAGCAGGACAGTGCGAAGGGCCCTGGCTATTAAAGAAAACAAGAGCTGTAACCAGCTGATAGAGAAGAGTAAGTGCCAGCTGCATGTGCATCCCTCGTGGAAATCCGCATACACCATCACTCCCACAGCAGCTCACACCTGCACTGTAAAGAAGCTCTTAGCATTTTATAGTCTCCCCCAGAGGGCTCCTCCCCCATCACAAGATCTCCCCCACTCAATAGGTGAGAAAACTGAGAGCCAGAGAGGTTAACTGACTTGCCTAAGACCACACAGTTAGTGAGGGTTGAGCCCAGGACTACCTAACTCCCAAGGCCAGGTTCGCTCCACCATGGCCTATGTTCATGTTCATGCATGCGTGGACCTACACATACAAAGATACTGCTTCCCAATAGGAACCTGCGATTTCGAGGTTCACAGCTCCTCAGTGAAATGAGGTTTGAGTTGATTTAATTGTATGCAAGAGTGAACCCCCACCTAGGACCCGCCTCCTGGTCCCCTCTGGCTGGCTCATCCTGTGGCCGTGCTTAAGCCTGTGGTGCTGTTTGCTTCCACAGATGGGAGTTTGCCTGCTTGTCTGCCCATCAGCCTGGACCCCAGAGCCTGCCCAGCTAAGTGCGTGCAGAGGGCCCCGGGTTCGGGGCAACTCTCAGGCTGCCGCGGAGACCACCCTGGAATCACTGGTGAAGACTGGCCTGTCTTGCTGAGCTGGGCCTGTCTGCACAGCCTGCTCAGGTAAGTAACACTGAACAGGGAAACCAGGTCTGAGCTTCGGCCACCCCCACGAAGTAGGCAGCAGGGGGACTTACTTCCCCGTCCTAGCAGGGATTTCCCCCTCCCAGCTTAGGCCAAAAAGAGGCCCTTGATAGAACCCAAATGTATTAACGCAACTTACTCAAACTGCTTGTTACCCAAAAAGGGGAACCGAGGCCCGTGGGTACACAGCAAGTTTCCTGAGTCCTGCCTCCTAGTCTGGGGACCCTTCCCTGCTCCATGATGACCTGAGATAACTGGGCAGAGAGGGTTTGTAACAGTGAGCGGAACTCAGGGCACAGGTGGAAACCAGAGTGCCTGATGTGTGCAGCCCACCCCCAGGACTGAAATCTGTGGACGCAAGAGCTGGGCCGCCAAGGCGAGGTGCTGAGAGAACCCAGTCGTTCAGGTACGCCAGGCTGCCCAGCCAGGATGAGGTGGAGCAGGGGGCAGCACCCGCCTCCCTGCTCCTGGCCCACACTAGCCCACCCAGGCTCAAGAGCCACAGAGGCCAGGTGGGGCTGCCCTGCCCTGCCCTGCAGAGGCAACTCCCTGAACTGACACATGAAGCCTCCAGGCTCCAGGAAGCTCCCCAGAGCCCAGCCTGCCTGGGGACTCCACCCAACTTCCAAAAGAGCATTCCTGGGGCCTGAGGTCTGGGGGTGGGGCCTCCTGGGATTGTAAGGGTGGGGAGGTTCAGTTGTGGGAGGATGCAGGGCTGTGTACCCACAGTAAAAGTGGCGGGCATCTTGTGTACAAGCACACAGGTGTGCGTGTAAGCTAGTGTGTGGGGGGCTCTATCCTTACGTGTGCAAGGTTCTGGATACCAGAGTTATTATATAAGTGGACTGAGCTGGGGGTGTTGGAGGGTTGTGTATATAGCACATTGGAGTGAGGGGTATGCAGGATTCCGAGTGTGTCCTGGGCAGGTGTGGGAATACTGGAGTGTTGTGTGTGCCACACCGGATGGTGTATGTGTACAGGGTGTCAGTCTACACTGGGGAGGTGTGTAGACAAGAATCTGAACACCCTGGGATGATAGGTGGGTTCGCTGGATGGTGTGGTGTGTGTACACATTGGGTTCTCTCCGTGTGTCCCTGGGAAAGCATGTGTTCGGGCCTGGGTGTTGTGTGCACATGGCACCATTTGTGCTTTGGAGGTGGGCTGGGCAAGCCTTCAGCTGAGCTGGGCTCAGCAGTGCCCAGCCTTGTGGCCAAATCACTGAAGTCACTTCCTTTCCAGCAGCAACTTTCCAGGAGGAGGAGTTCTTCAGACCTGGGCAGGGAGGGGTGGGGGGCGGAACAAGGAGCTCTCAGGGGAAGGAGGTGGGCGGGGGTGAGCGGCTGTGGGGAGGGCCTGGTGGGGCTGGAGGAGGGGAGTCCTCTGGGAGACGGAGGGAAAGACAAGGACAGAAGTCTGGAAGGGCCAAGGGCAGGAGGGGATGGGGGCGGAGCAGGGCGGGAAGCACAGTCCCTGGGTGACCTCGGAGGGAGGAAGGGAGGGCCTCCAGGCAGGGTGACCCTCGGGTTCAGCCAGAGCTGGCTGTGGTGCCTGCACACCTGGCACCCAGGTCAGGGGGCTGGCAGGGGCGGGTCTAGGGCAGACCTGCTTGCCAGGTGCCCCACTCCATGCAGGAAGGGGGTGGGCGAGGGCCGCACAAAGGAGCTCTGTGTGTCTGGGGGTAGGGTGGGGTGTGCTGTGCTGGGGCGGGGGCTGCTGGCTCCGGGGAGCAGGGCGGGGCTTGCTCCCCTTGGGGGCATCAGTGGCTCTGAGGGGACACCTAGTGGTGAGGGAGGATAGTGCAGCAGGATGGCTGCGGTGCGAGGGGTGGGTGAAGAAGCTGGCAGGGGGTAGATTAGAATTCAAAAATGAAAACTGGTGGTTGGGACTAGAACGGTGGCGGGAGGCTGCAGAGGAAGGGGCTGGCTCTCTGGACAGTGAAGAAGTTTGGTTTAGAGGATCCCAGCAAACCTCAATTAACACTTCAGCTCTTCCACCTCATGGCTGTTGGTCCTTAAGGGCATAGCTTAACCTCTCTGGGCCTCCATTTAAATGCCAAATAAGTGACAGCTACCAGTATTTTTTCATTATTGGTATTTTTGTTGTC